CCCCCTTCCCCTCTCCCCCTCCCGGCTGGGCGCAGGCCCCCCATCCCCACCCCCGTGGGAACGATCGGAGCCTGCACTCCTCAGACCCTCTCCTCGACTCTTCCCTCACCTCAGCCCCCGCTCCCCGCCCTCTTCCCGGCCCTGGGCGCCGGCCGACCCGTCCCTCCGCCGTCCCCCGGCCGCGGGGAGGACATGGCCGCGCACAGGCCGGTGGAATGGGTCCAGGCCGTGGTCAACCGCTTCGACGAGCAGGTAAAGGGCCCGTGGCGAGCGGGAGGTGGGAGCGGAATGGGGGTGGGGACGCAGTGGGTGAGGGGGGGAAGGGGCAGCCGCCTCCCCCGCGGCTGCCTCAGGCTCTGGAGGAAAGGAAGGGGGGATAAGTGGGGGTGGCCTAGGGGGAGGTGCGGGGAAGGAGGGGACGGCTGGTAGCTCGGACGCCCCTTCCCTCCTAAATCGGGGAGCGGGGCCTTTTCCCTGACCGACCCTCTTCCCCCTTTATCCCAGCCCATCCTCTTGCTAATAAGGATGAGTGACCTGGGGCTCTCCATCTGGATTTAATCATGACCCCCCTTACTTTTTTTTTTTTTTTAATGAACGGAGGTGGGTAACATTTAGGGGTTTCTTCTTTCCTCAGTGGGTCTCCTCACTGGGGGTGAGTAACTGCAGGCACCCCAAGGCCCGTCTTGTGTACCCCCAGTTGGAGAACGATAACATCCCGCCCCTCCCCCAGTTTCTTAAGCTTCCTCTCTTGGAGGGGGAAGAGTAGAAGAAAGCAAGGAAAGCCCAGGTTTTCTGACTTTCTGCTCCATCGTCTCAGCCTGTCTCTATAGAGCTCCAAGTGCACCCACACTGCACGGTGTTTTTTTTTTTTTTTGATGCCCCACACGGGCGTCCCCTCGTATCTGATGAGACAAGACTGGCTCTACATTGCCATTTGCAGTGGAAACATGGTTCTTGTTCCCTCCTGCTTCTGAAATCTTTTCCCCGATTTTCCTTCCTTGATAGTTGCAGTTTCTGTCTTTATTATTATTTTTTTTGCCAGCGGTCTGAGAAGGTGAATGTTGCTTTCCTGAGTGAGCTTCTTGGGGAGTAAGGGAAGTGGGAGGAAAGTGGGAGAGTGGGAAACTGCATCCGAGCCACTGACAACTGAGAGAGCAAAGACAGCTGGGATGTGGTCGCGGAACCGGAGAATTCTGCTAGTGTTTTGTTATTGTTTTTAACTCTCACCTCTTGGTTGACAGAACTTTCATTGAGAATATTTGGGATGGAAAAAAAAAAGTTTCATAGCTTGGGGAGGTGCCATTTTATTCCCTTAGCCTCACACAGTAAATCCTAGGGCTAATCAGAATGAATGCACACGTAGCCTTTTGTCAATGGGAATTCGTTTAACTTTGTGTTGCTGTAGGTAACTGAGGATGGTTTAAAGGGATGCTTTTTTTTGCAGCTGCAAGTCTACTGCAGGCTTCCTGTGATGAGGGAACCGTTTAAGATTGACTCAATCTTTTTTGTTTACTGGATATAATCATAAAACTGATTATGGGAGCTGAATGGAGGGGGAAGGAGGGCTCCACTTTTATTTGATCCATAAACATTTCCTTCCAGGACTCATAGCGTTTCTGACCTACCTAAAAGATATTTGGGAATAAGCAGAGGAATTGAGAAGAGATTTGAGAAGAAATTACAATGATAAAACAGAATTACGAAGCTGTCAGACTTGAAGGAATTGTTTCAGCCATCCTTCTGCTTCAGACCAAAAAGCTTTGTAAACCAACTGTATTACTAATTTATCTGAGGAAGCAAAATGTTACCGCATATATTGGATTATATTATTGATAGAGCATTAGATTTAAAACTTGGTAGAAAAAAAGGCTTTCTCTGTGTAATTTTAAAAAGGCACACAGAAGAACTCCAAAACGGAACCTTGTAGACAGCATAATCTGGATGCAGAAATTTGAAGGATTCACACACTTGTTCCCCAATTTTTTAAATTAAAATTTCCCCCCAATTTTTAAACTTTAACCTGTTGATCTCTAGGCTTACATGCCACATCAGAAAAATATAGTTTTCTAAATTTTAAAAGAGGGATGATTTTGATTATATGGCCAGTGATGCAAGAAAATGTTTCCTTCTTTTTGTCCCCAGTGTTAAAAGACCTTAGGCTTTGTTGTTTGCTTTGTTATGAATATTGTGGAATCAAACTCACCACCATCTGTTAAAAATTAAGGACATAAGAGTTTTAAACAGAAGCATTCTTTATATATTCCTTATGTTGTAATTAAGGGAAAGATACATAGGACAAATTATTCCTCTATTTTTCTCTTACAAGGTTAAAGTCCACTGACTTTGAGATGCAAAAGTATAAAGGTTTTTAGTGTTTTAACATAAGGTATTTATATACATTAATTTGTTATAGAAGTAATAGATGTTTAATTCAAATTAGAGTTTACCTTAAGTTGGGAAAGTGAGAAAACTGAGGCAAAGAGAGGCTAAATGACTTTCCAAGGTCATATAGCAGACCTAATAACAAGAGCCTCAATATGAAAAGTATTGAATGCTGGAAAATCAGGGATATTTTTACTGATAAGTACCTCATAGGATTAAAAAAAACCGATTAAGTATAGTTAAGAGGAAAGAGTTTACATTTTTCTTGAGGGGAGGAAAAAGCCTTCTATGTAGGGAGTTATTTGTATAAGAGTGTTAAAGTGTTTCAACTATTTCTAAAAGTTTTTTATTTTGCATACATTGTCCATACTTTGTTTCAATGGCTGCAGAGGGAGTCAAGCAGCTTTTTAAAAATTATTATTATATAGAAGATACATAGTATGTGGAGCCAGAGAGCATGTGCATGTCAAAAGATGGCAACTCTGTTTATGGTTGAATTGATGTTTTGGTTGAACTTGTAACATTTGTGGCGATTTAAGCAGAAACGCATCATCACTAGCCACTGCTGATTACATATTGTACTCTGATGGGTATTGCTCAGCAACGTGGTGCAGCAGACCCAGTAAAAAGAAGTGGTAGTGTTCCATCTTGACATTTTGAGCTCAAGTCCTTGTTTCCAAGTGGGTAAAATAAAATTCCTGTAACCTGCTGGGACTGCACCTAATATTTATGGGCTAAGTTGAATGATTCTTAGGAATTTTAAAAATAATTACCTCCTTGATTTGGGAAATGGCAGTTGCAAAAGTAGATGCCAGAAAGCTGAATGTATCAGTTAATATCTCCTGCTTCTACTTAACCTGCTTTTATGGTGCTCAACAGTAAGTTTTTAAACTGAAATTGGCAAATTTTAGGTGTGTAGCTTTCAATTGTGGCTCATTAGGTTAATTAACAAATTAGAGAGGACTTTCTTACATGCCCCCCTCCCCCCAAAGTCTCTGTAGGGCTTTGTTTCTAAAAGGGAGTAAAGAAAAACTGGCTATTTGAAAAAAAAAATTTTCTTTTTAAGAAATTGAACAGAAGTTATCCTCAAATGACTTGTTGTAAATGTTTTCATTTAATCACTTACATTTTCCATATCTGGTCAAGTAAAAACAGTATATAAAAAGCCCCCAAAACATAACATTTTAAAGAACACATTAGAGAATAAACTCTGATTTTTGATTTGTAATAATAGCATATTGGTTGTTGTAAATTGAATGCTAATCAGATGTTCTTTCAATATGTGGTGTAAAATTCAGTCTAAAATGATTGGCAAGTGTCTTTGAAGTTACTAGCTACGTGTTAATTGGCCAAACAGATAAATTTGTTAAAACTTTGAAGCCGGTTTGGATTAAAAAAAAAAAAAAAGATAATCTCCTAGCCTTGCTCTTAAAGCCTGGCCTACCATTTTTATAAGGCCTTATTTATAAGTAGTTGAAAATGAATACTCTTTTGACAAAGGGTATTATATGGTGAATGAGAAAAAAATGCTTATTTTTTATCCTGGAACTTATCTTAAAAAAAAACCAAAAACTTCCAGCTGGTCCTCTGTGCTCCCTCACTCCCCCATCTTATCTAGCATCTAATTTAGTCTTTCTGTGATCGCCTTCCTCTTCACCTTCACACTTACTAAGATTTCTTTCGTCTTAAACATTTGCGTGGTCCATAGCTTTCTCTCTCTGGACTAATCTTCCTTTTGTTGCCTGATACCTGCTGCCTCTAATGTTGACACATCCATTTCTCTGTAACTCCGAAAAGTAGCTTCTGCCTCAGCTTTCCTTCTGGATTGCTGCTTTCTTGAAAGTGATTTCTTGTGGCAAAACAGTGGGTTTTGCTCAACTGTAATGTCACTGTGGTGTTCCATTACCCTGGAAACCAGTTTCCTCTAATTCCCAAGACAATACTGTCTTGTATGTATGCCTGCAGATCTTTATATATTGATGTTCTCATTGATCCTTGGACAGACGTGCTTTCTCTAGTACACCACGGTCTTGCGCATCACTGAGCTGGGGTTCCTATGTGGGAGTCTGAGTTTTGCTCTGCTTCTTCCCGGCCTCTGCCCTCATGCTAGCCATTAGATCTCTATCGATCCTAGATTTCCTCATCTGTTGTAAAAGAATTGACTAGAAAATATGTAAGGTTCTCTTTCTAGTTTAAATATTCGATGATTTTAATATTTTAACAGCACCTCCTTGGGCCACAGCAGTCTACTGGGAACTGACCCCACTTAATTTACCAAACTGTTTCTCACTATGCCTCAGCTTGCACCCATGTTCCAGGCAGGTTGGCTCAGTCTCGTCTGTATATTTCATGCTTATTCCTGCATCTCCGCCTTTGTTTATGCAGGCCCCTGAATGCGTTCATTCCTCCTTTGGGCTTTTCTAATTCCTGTCCATTCTTCAATGTGCAGTTCAAACTTCGTTTTTTAGACTAAACTCACTGCAATTTCACTTCTCGGTATGCTTGTTACTTGGGGTTCTGCAGAACCACCCTGTAAGGTTTCTCCAACCAGGAGGGTTGGTTGAACACAGCTTAGCATTGTTTTCTTTTATCATTTTATCAAATAGAGTGTAAACTTTCTGAAAAGCAAGAAGCCTCTGTTAGAATTCTCTTATAGTCACCCCAGTGCCCAGCACACTTAGGAGCCTACAGTGTTTCTTTGATGGAAGGTTTTTCATATGAATCCTGGCTAAAAAAAGTGGTAATTTTGGCTTTGTTATAAATGTAACCACATTTTAATTTAGTTTTTATGTTAGCCTAGGTTTTATAAGTTAAGTGATATTTTAACTAGGAATAGTTTTGTTTGTTTTTGTTTTTTTAAGAGAGCTTTA